TAGCAGTAATTTGAGCTACCAATTCTGCTTCTGTTTCAATAGGTGTCTCATAAATGAGAGTTTTCATATATGCCCCTATAAAAAAAAGTCAAGCGAAGATAAATTTGGTAACCGGGGAGGCCATGCGATAAGACCTCTTCGGCCTATCCAGCGCTCTTTGGTCCAAGTAATTGCGCACAGTAGCACTAAAATGGGCAGGTGCTCCATCGTGTTGAAACCATATTTATTATAAATTGAGCTAATCAATTGCGCATTTTTGTTCCGTTCTTTTGTTCATTGTTTTTTGAAGATTAAAATATATATGTGTAATTGAAATAAATTTAGTTTTTCCACTTATATGTTTGTTTTTTATTAAAATCATAAAATTCCTATTTTGTACCCTGTAGTATCAAAACGAAGCGTCGTAGAGAAAAACATTATTAACAAAATATGTTTGTTTTTATGTCCTGTATTTCCCCTCAAAGTTTGTCGGTCTAATTTTTTTACACCCTGTATATAAAGGGTAAGTCATTTTAATCGAACCAGGCAAATATCTCGAAAAATATGGCGGATACCGAAAAATGTTTCAAACAAAAGTTGTATGGTTCGGAGGGGGATATAAGATGGTACAATTGGCTTGATCTTGGATAGTTGTTTGAAAGGACGTGAAGGTCATCTTCAATTTCTTAATGGAAACCTCCATTTTTCATTGCATATTCTTGTAACTTACCTCGAGAACTTTCCAAAACACTATAAAATATTTTTTCATTAAGTATCTTTCGAGTTAAAAGGCTTCAAAGTTACAATATTGTTGCCATTAGCATTGGTGCCCGAGGTGTTCGACCGACGGCTGAAACCTTTTGAATGTTGTTCAGAGCCATGACCTTGACAACATTTATCAAGATTAAGGCGATTGGAGGTTGTTCCTAATATTTTCATTTCTTCAAATTTTACAGTGAATACAAAAATAATAATTTAAAATCATGGGATAACATGTAGAGTCCGATTGACTCTAAAGGATCATATGAAGATCACAATGCTATGATTATTAAAGAAATTTAATAATGGGATTTTACATGTGTGCTTCTTTGTGGCCCGGACGAAGCATTGTGACCTTCACATGATCCTTTAGAGTCAATCGGATTCCACATGTTACCCCATGATTTTAAATTATTATTTTTGTTTTCACTGTAAAATTTAAATAAATAAAAATATTAGGCCTCCAATCGCCTTGACCTTGA